GAATATTACAACTTTTAGACATGGAGTCAAAATAGGGACTTGTAGCTTGAGGAAATAATGTCAACACTACGTCTCAAACCTTAAGCTTGTTGACTTTTTTTGGCGATTGCATTTTCACTTTAAGCTACCTATCTTGTTTCTGTATTTTTTTAAGATCACTAGTCCCCATTTTCGAATTAAGAATTTTCAGTAATCTTGTATTATGTTTTTCAACGTTGAGTATCGTGCAACAGTTACAAAATAACATATTCGAGTGACTGGTTTTGAACAATGTGTTATAATTAAGTTCATGAAATGCACAGTTCTGACCTAGCGCAGTGAGATCCTCAGTCTTTTTGATTCTCACAAGGACGTCCAACCTTGGACAAAACTTCATAATAACTGATGTTTTCAAAGAACCTTTAAGCAGTTGAATTCGTAAATATCACATCTACATTTTACTGAACCGCAATGATGAATATGACAAAACGACGGAGGGGTTTATTCATCGTATTTAATGGGCTGTGTTAAGGAATGATGTTGGTAACCTATACCCTCATTGTCATTGGTGCACGTTAACATCTGATATAGTTAGCTTAAAGTGAATAAAATATAATTTATTTCGTAACACTATTCATACACATGTATTTATTAACATGCTTTTGCCTCGGGTATTTTTATATTTGAATCTCTTTTTAGAATCCCTTTTTTTCAGTTAATGAACACGGGGTGGCTCTGTGGTAGAGTTCTACATTTTGGAGCTGGCTAGTTAGGTTCGAATCCGGGCAATGGCACACAGTATTTCCAGCACTTTAAGCTGTGGGTGCCTCATAATAATGACAGTAAGTTCCTTCGCATGGATGATGAGTGATAAGGTGCTACTGACTGGCTGCCTTCCTTATTGTCAGTAGTTCAAAATTAGGGAGGGCGGCAAACGCCGTTTGTAGCTTTATCATACATACAGAATACAGATACTTTTCTGTTATAGCTAATAGTGGTGATCAAATTATCACGAAACAATATGTGCAGTTATTTTTTAGATTTATCAACCTCATTACCAATGGTCTATAACAATTCCACCTGTATCTTTATATATATATATATATATAAGCAGATGTGGTACGTATGGTGTTGTGTATATATATATTCGAAGGTAATAAAAATAAGGAAGGTACAGTGACAGTAATATTCGGAAAAGATTGGAATGGCAGTAGGTAAAGCATATATATATAACAATTGAAAATGTATGAAAAACTCAATAGAGACGGTATAATAGTGATATACAGAAAAAGTGGGTATAATGATATAGAAGAGAACGCTGGTGTTATTGATGAACAGGGTAAGGTGATATTGGTGAAAAATACATGTACCTGTGTACAGGGCCGGATTAAGGTTTAGTGGGGTCTTAGGCCAATTTATTATTTGGAAATAACAATAATGATAATAATAATAACTCCCTCTTGCCTTTATTCTGCTATTTTTACGAACCATATTTGTTTTTACTTGGGTGGCCGACGGGGTCCCTGTATGGCCGAGGTCCCAGGCCCTGGCCTAGGTGGCTTATGCGTTAATTCAGTACTGCCCGTCTACTGAATTATTTGTCAATAATCAAAATGTTCCTAGCTTGTCTATCTTTACACGTGTGGAGGCTGTAAGGCCTCCTATATTGGCAAAACCAAACGCCATTTAAAAGTCAGAGCCCATGAACATATGGGAATTTCCATCAAAACGCTAAAAAAATTGAATAGCCCCTGTGTTTCCTCTATACGCCAACATAGTGAAGAAACAGGACATCAACCTATACTATCAAATTTCTCTATCCTCTGCAAGTCTAATACTGACCTGGAATTATCAATCAAAATATATTACTGTGTCGCCATAAAAAAGAAAAAGTGTAAATGCGCATAAAAATGTATATAGCATTTTTCATTTTGTAAGATTGTTTCGTTGCCAAACTCAAATATTTTGTGTATGTTTTTGTTGTTGTTTTTCTCTGTCCATGAACTTTTGATCACGGTATACACGTATGTTTCAGGATTGGCCACGTATTTAGAAACAGACTTGGCTGCCCGTCCAGTTTGCCCATCCTGTCCCAACAGCCGCCCAGTCTCCACAAATCCTGAGGAAGAGATTAGATAACATCAAATCAAAAAGTCTTGTTCTTGCCATTAGAATATTTAAATCGTTTGTTAGTTCAACTGACACAAAAGCCTTTCTTCTTACTAATAAATTTCACTAGTCCTGTCGATTTTTCCCTGACACTGTGCCGAAAGTGAATGTTTCAGTGAAAAAAAGTTACTTTCCTGTTGTTACTTGTTCTTGAACTCTGGGTACGTGTGGACATATAAGGCTACTGTACTTCATGGCTTAAACAGACAGGCGTCTGTCGACCGTCTGGCAAATTCATCTTGACTAAAAGTGATTTACGCCCTTATCATCCTTTGAGATTACATTGCCTGCCGAAATCTCTTAACTCTTTACCCTCCAGAATCTCTCAGTCAATCTCGATAAGTCATTTCTTTGTCCTGGACCGAATAACAACAACAAAAAAAAAAACTGGTTTTCGCTCTGTAATCTCCAAACTAGCTGCTGATGATGGCCATGATTAACAACGTGAAAGATTCTCGCTGGCTACAGTTGGAAGTATGCAGAGAATACCAGAGGAATAAATGCAGTCGTCCCGATACGGAATGTAAATTTGCTCATCCGCCGGCTAACATAGAAGTCCAGGATGGACGTGTTGTAGCTTGTTATGATTCTATTAAGGTGAGAAAAAAAATAATGTTTTCTTTCACTTTGAAGTTTTATCAATAAAACAAACCTCATGTTGTTTAATTAAACTGTTAATTCAAACAAACTAATTAACAACCAATTTTAAACTAAATTAAATAGCAAAATAAGAACCGTACAGTTATCATTTAAAATAGTGAATGAAGTATATCAAAGAGCATATTAATAATGCCTGGAGACGGCTTGAATGGGTAATGAAGAAAAACTTTAATATAAGTGTTTCTTCATTACCCATTCAAGCCGTCTTCAAGCATTATGTAGTTGCAACTGATTGGTACTACCCACGACATACAATTACACCTGACTGACACTATCCTTAATATGTAATTGTGGTTGGATGGTATTATGTATTACATACAATTACACCTGACTGACACTATTTTTAATTATTCTTGACTGGTACTAGCCCACGATATGCAATTACAACTGACTGACACTATCCTTAATATGTAATTGTGGTTGGATGGTATTATGTATTACATACAATTACACCTGTCTGACACTATCCAATATATGTAATTGCACTTGACTAGTACTAACAACGACATAAAATTACATCTGACTGACGCTATCTATGCTATATAATGAAACTTGACAGGTTACTATCCACGACATAAATTTACACCTGGCTGACACAACACATGAAATGTTATTCCACTTAACTGGTGCTATCTACGACATAAAATACATCTACCTGACACCCTGACACTTGAGATAATATGTGTACTTGTCTAATACTAGCCACAACATACAATTAAACCTGTTTGACACTCTTCGTAATATGTAATTATTCATATCTGGTATTATCCACGACATACAATTATACCTCACTGACATCATCCATGATATGTTATTGCACTTAACTGGTGCTATCTACGACATAAAATACATATACCTGACACCCTGACACTTGAGATAATATGTGTACTTGTCTAATACTAGCCACAACATAAAATTAAACCTGTTTGACACTCTTCGTAATATGTAATTATTCATATCTGGTATTATCCACGACATACAATTATACCTCACTGACATCATCCATGATATGTTATTGCACTTAACTGACACTATACACAATATACAATTACTCCTGTCTGATACTATCCGTATGTAATTGTACTTCTCTGGTAATATCGATGACATACAAGTAAACCAGACTGATATTGTATATGATATGTAATTCCACTTGTCTGATTCTATATACATCATACAATTAAATCTGAATGACCATATTACACCTATACTGACACTATCCATGATACGTAACTGCGCTAATAATATTTCACAGTTACTGTTCATCACATATAGTTCCACTTGGAAACGAATACCATTTTCTATTTACTGATAAAATCTACAACATGTATATTAGATTTTACTATCCACAATATACAGTTGCTCATAGTTGGTAATGTACAGTAGTTAGACTTCTCTAGGTCCGTGTAAAACATACAGGTGTAAATAACATCCAAGACTATGATATGTGTTATCTTTGAAATTACTCTTAGAATTTTTTCTTGAGACAGTACGGCCGTCTACAAAAACATAAGCTGGAAGTGACTTAGGGTTATTATATCGAGACGTAAATCTGCTGAACAGGTTTCGCGCTTTCAGCTATAGGCGCGTTATAAAAGTGTCAATTAGTCCACCAGTTCCGTCCAAAGAGCTCGACAAAGCCCACGTGGTGTCAAGTGCTACTGACTGGGTGCCTTACTTCTAATTAATAATTCAACATTATGGATAGCTATACATGAATTCTTGGTATCTCTGGCGTGGCAGTTGAACCTAAGTGCACATATTATGGCGTTTGAAGTTCTACAACACTTTGTCCCACCTGTAAGGGACTACTCTCGAGTGCGTTTGTTGGCACATGCTATTAATTTCACTTAAACAATAAGCTATTTCGATGACGAGGAACCCACTTTGAGACAATTACATATCGTGGATATTGTCAGTCAGATTTAAATATACGTCGTAGATAGTACGAGACAAGTACAATTATATGTTATCTCTAGTGTCAGATAGGTGCATTTTATGTCGTGGATAGCACCAGTTAAGTGGAATAACAAGTGTGTAGTGTCAGTCAGGTGTTATTTTGTGTCGTGGATAGCACCAGACAAGAACATACTATGGATGATATCATTAAGGTTTAATTGCATGTCGTGGATAGTACCAGTCAGATGGAGTTACATATCATGGATACTGTCAATCAGTTTCAACTGTATGTCATGGGTAGTGTTAGACAAGTGTAAATGTGTGTTGTGGATAGTGTCAGTTAAGTGCAATAACATATCATGGATAATGTCAGTGAGGTGTAATTGTATATCGTGGGTAGTACCAGTCAAATATTTACCTATCATGAGTAACAATTACAAAAAAACGACGATTTTGGCAAAGTAATAAGTAAAATTATTTATTATAATTTACAGCCAACTAGTTTCGGTAAACATGTTACAATCATCAGGACAAAATTCTACACTATCCGTTAAGTAAGTATCTGGTACCATCCGTTAATGGGCGAGTTAATTTTTGAAAAAACAAGATCAAGAGATGGGGGGGTGGGGAGGTAAGACATACGTGCTAGAATATTTAAGATAAACAAGTCTTCCAATAGGACATGTTGATTGGCCCATCATCTCTGTTTATACATAGGGGTATGTTTTTGATTATACAAATACTTTCTCTCAAGTTTCTTTCTATGTTATTTTGTGCGTATCTTAAGATATTTACATTATTCCAGCCATAAGTACCATCACAGTACCAGAAGTGTTCGGCTACAGAAGAGGACGTTATGTTACCATGGTTTTTATGAAACTGGTGTTTTTTCATTCTTGTTTTGAATTTCTTTCTTGTTTGTATGTAGTTAGTTTTGAGTATTTCACCTGTAGTTGTTTTTTCTTTCATTTTATAGAAAGCTCTGTCAATGACTTTTGGGTCGTAACCTCTATCCACAGCTACTGCTTTTAAGTACATTTTTGTTGTTGTTTATTTCCGTGATGTCAGAACATATATTGAGGGCACGCCAGACATGTGTAAAACGTACTTAGTTTCTGACTTAAAGGATGGTTAGAAATGTAATGTGGTGGCATGCTGACGGTTTACAAAATACACTAGATTTTAATTGTTGTCATGTTTTTAACAAGAACATCTAAGAAACGCAGTTCGTGTTCATTGGACTCCATGGTAAATTTAATTCTTATGTCATTGTCCTTCATGTGGATCAAGAAGTATTCAGGGTTTCACTGTTGTTTCGCCATATCATGAAGGTGTCGTTTACATATCTTCTGTACCCTATAGGTCTTATTACAGCTTTCTGTAACTTGGTGTCTTTAAAAACATCCATAAATATGTCACTCAAAACAGGAGATAAAGGAGAACCCATCGCAAGGCCTTTAGTTTGTTGGTACAATTTGTCAATGGATAGTACCAGTGAAGTACAATTACATGTTATGGATAGTGTCAGAGAGATGCATTTTATGTCGTGGATAGCATCAGTTAAGTGCAATAACATATCATGGATAGTGTAAATCAATGTAATTGTAAGTCATCGATGGTACAACTCAAATGCAATAACATCATGGGTAGTATCAGTCACATGTAATTGTATGTCATGGATAGTACCTGTCAGGTGCAGTTATATATCTTGAATATGGTCAGTCAGATTTAATTGTACGTTGTATATAGAACCAGACAAGTGGAATTGTGTATAGTACCAGTCAAATATAATTACATATATTATGGATAGTGTCAGCCAGGTTTAATTGTACGTCGTGGATAGTGCCAGTCAATTACAATTACACATTATGGATAGTGTCAGTGAGGTTTAAATGTATGTATTAGATAGACAATTACATATTATTTATAATGTCAGATAGGTGCATTTTATGTCGTAGATAGCTCCAGTTCAGCGCAATAACATATCATGTGTGGTGTCAGTCGGGTGTAATTTTATGTCACGAATAGTACCAGACAAATGCAATTATATATTAAGGATCATGTCAGTCAAGTTTATTGTATATCATGGATAGTACCAGACAAATGCAATTACATATTAAGGATCATGTCAGTCAGGTTTATTGTATATCATAGTACTAGACAAATGCAATTACATATTAAGGATCATGTCAGTCAGGTTTATTGTATATCATAGTACTAGACAAATGCAATTACATATCATGGATAATGTCAGTTAAGATTAATTCTATGTTGTGGATAGTACCAAACAAGTGGAATTACATATCATGGATAATGTCAGTTAAGATTAATTCTATGTTGTGGATAGTACCAAACAAGTGGAATTACATATCATGGATAATGTCAGTTGGGATTAATTCTATGTTGTGGATAGTACCAGACAATTACAATTGCATATGGATAGTGTCTGACAGGTTTAATTGTAAGTTGTGTATATTTACCATCTTGTTTGTTTGTTTTTAATTAAGCACAAAGCTACACAATGGGCTATCTGTGCTCTGCCCACCACGGTATCGAAACCCGGATTCTAGCGTGGTAAGTCCGCAGACATACCGCTGTTCCACTGGGGGGTCATTTTCCATCTAATTCAATAACATATTATGGATAATGTCAGTCAGGTACATTTCTTTGTGGCTGATAGAAGCAGTCAAGCACAATTACATATTATGAATAGTGTGAGTGAGGTGTAATTTTATGTTGTGGAAAGTACCAGACAAGTACAACTACATATGGATAGTCACAGCCAGGTGTAATTGTATTCCGTGGTTAGTACCAGTCAAACGCAATTACATATCATGGATAGAGTCAGGCAGATTTAATTGTATGTCGTGGATAGTGCCAGTCAATTATAACTCCATTTTGTGGATAGTGTCAGTCAGGCTTAAATGTATATCATATATTGTACCAGACATGTGCAATTACATATTATCTATAGTGTCAAATAGGTGCATTTTATGTTGTGGATAGCAACAGTTAAGTAAAATAACATATCATTTGCAGTG